AGTAGGGTTAGCACGGCCATGTGTAGTGTAGCTAGAGTCGATTTATACTCAATCTAAACAGCGCTCTTTTGTTTTCATTTTAGCTCAGACGTTCTACTGTCCAGGCGATTGATATCAGAGACAGAAGAAGCTATTAGATCACGATTACAACCTCTTCTAGATCGTGCTGAGGTATAGAAGTCACAATATTGTATGTTTTTGAAAGTTAATCAATCAAACGACAAACACCGTACGTTACAGTTTTCGCAAGGTGTCTTACCCTAAGCCTCTAGACGTCTCCATGACTACCAACTTTATAGGCCTTTAGAATCACTCAAAACTATGCCATAGCGGTGAAACCGCCCTTGTCTGTGTTCAAAACGGCATTCTGCTTGCCACTGATGATCGTCTCTGTGCATTCAGAGCTTTAAATAGCTTTATGCAGAGTGTTCACTCGGCATCGGAGAACGGAGAATTTTCCGTTTACTACGCATGGCTCTCCGGCAAACGTTCGGTAGCCTATGACTGTTTTATATTCAGACGTGGAGCCTCTTTCAAAATATTCTCCTGTAAAGTTACGCCTTTCTCCTGCTACTAGAATTCTCAATGAAAACCCTGATTCACATAAGTGTACACTATAAACTATGCTTAAATTTACAGAGCTATGCGTCGCAGTTAAATGAGCCATTCGTTGTTATACAGAGCTATACACTGCTGTACACCGCCTTAAAGAGCAGTACATTGCTATAAACAGTTATGACAGCTATCCTAAGCTGGAAACTGCTATGTAGTCGTAAAGAGTTGTAATGAGCGATACTCCTGGATGCAACGCTTTGAAAACTAAAAACTTTTATTTCAATTCATTATATACAGGAGATAGCGGAAGCGGATGGGAGACGAGAACTCGTGCATAAGAAATCACTGCATCATCAGTTGGGGAAACTTGCGTCGGAAACAGTAAGTGTATCTCGCCACACGCCCTTAATTATCCCACTGATCCTCCTGACCCAGACCATCATTTAGTTTACCATCTGTTCTGAGAACAAATTTATTAAGCGTTAATCTCAGTGAGAAGCCAGCATTTACGGGTAACAGTGCACTCACTTTTACCCTCTGACGTCATAAGTTTTGCTGTGTTGTCCACTCAGAGACTTTTGTCTGGAACCATGTCATGTGACCTGAAAGTAACCAATGCCAGCTCGGGAAAAGGGAAAAGTCGTATAAGTGACTGTGCAACTATTTATGCCAAATAAATTGAGATGTCTCGCACGTAATAAGTTAACAGACAAACTGTGGCTGAATTATGTCTCAACAGACAATGAATCAAGCTGACATTTTAGCTGAAAAGGTACTTGACGACGTTTTAGAGGAAACGGTGATTGAAATGCAGAGGTGAGTGATCAGTATGCAATTCTCCTTAAAATTTTAAATGATTACAAAATAAAAAGAAAGCAAAGAAGAAGGTGGGGCAGCTTAAAAGAACACACCCATGGCTTACAGGATTGTCATCACCACTAACAAGCAGTGTTTTACTAAAAGTGGCATCACTTTTGCTGAGCAGTGACCATGGGGGGCGGGGGGTGGGGGTCAGTCTACAGAAAAAGTGCTTAGATGTGTCCTGCGGCGAGAAGGACCTGTCGTTTGTTTATAATATAGACCAAATTTCTGCCTATACAAGAAGCACTGATGAAAGTACTGTGAGAGCAAAAGTGAGCTTCCGAACGATGGTTTTTGCAAAAAAAAAAAATGGATAAGAAGATGGCCAAGATGTCTAAATCCAAGGACAGAGAACACAGGAAAAGGGAAACGGAAACGGAAAGAAGTAAACAGTATATGTGATTATTAGACTAAATGATATTGAGCTCTATTACGCGAGGATCAAACGAAGAAGAGGAGCTCAAACTATAACCTTTTTTCAGTGGTTTTCACATTATTTCACAGCATTCAGTAGTTTTCCTTAGGGAAGGGTGAGCAGGTAAGGAAGGATTTAAATTTACTTTTTTTTTTTTTCATTTTTGTGTAGGCTGGAGGTGGAAGAAGAGGCTGAAATTGAAGCTGATAACTTACAAAACAGTTCCACTTTAGAAAATATTCTTCAGAGACTACAAAATTTTGAGGTACATTGACATACGGTATTTTTTACCAGCTCATGCAGAGACACAGAGGCACTCATGATCAGCTAGGCAGTGTGTATCAGTTGGGCCTGGAGGTTTCAAATAAACGCAAGAATATGCAAATGTTCCCGTCTCGACTGACTGCCCTCTGCTCTCCAAAGATAAATTAAGATTGAGTGGTCATCCTAGGAGCCTCCAACGTGAAGTGTTTAGGGAACACTTTGAATAGCATTTGCATGGAGGGGACGGATGAGCAAGTAGACTGCTGTAAGAAAACTAGTACCCTTTTTTTTCCAGGAAAAAATCAAGACAAACCTTTGTTATTAAAGGTGCTTTGTCTCTCTTCCTCTTTCCCAATCCCTTCGTCATTAAAAAGGCAATATCACCAAGTTAAACTACCACTTGATAATTCAACGGGCGTTTACATCACATTTAAACACTTGGTCAATAGCACTTGAGCTTAGGTGCAGTGAAGGCAGTGACAGAGGAGGGCAACAATCTCCTCGTTAACAAGGAAGTTTCTATGGCTACCGAGTTAACGTTCTTTGGTGCTCTATAAAGCAAACACCTCTCTAAAGACACATATTGCCAATTTCTGCTGGTTTTTTTTTTTCTCTTTTTGAAAAACTTGTATTCCATCGAAGGCCTTCCTTATTGAGGACTTGTATTCAAAATTGGAGGCCTTCCTTTTTGAGGAGACATTAGGTTTTAGAAAACTGGTTACTGATAATAAATCTTGTGTTGTTCATAGAAAGTCGAGGAGGAAATAAGGCGCCACTGGGTTCATGTTAAATATTCAGATGTAGAAAAACCCACAGAAAGTCTTTCTTCAGGTATGTCTGTGTAGCCTCGTAGAATTTCTCTTCAAAAGCTTTGTTATATTAGGCCTGGTTACAGCAACAGAGGCCGGAATTGGATCATGATCACAAGGATTTAAGTAGATATTTCTTGTCAATCTGGCAAGCTAGTTACCAGCGTCAGCGTGCGTAAAGCCGGTCTTGTATGGCCATATACACCTGGGTAGTACTATTCGTGACTGTGTTGTGGCTATGCTGGGCCATGAAGGACTATTAAGTATAGTATGGCCCTGTGAGCTGTGTATAGCGAGGTCTTTCTATTCATAGCCACATACGGCTGTTAAGAGATGTAGGCTACGCTCAATCAAACGACTATATGATGGTTATATCAAGTTACTAAGTAGACTTGCTATGACTCTCTACTTAGCCTGTTTAACCCTTTAAGCCCCAAGAGTGATCAGCATCAAATTTCTCCTTGTAATATTAATGCTTTGCAAAACAGAGTGGTCATGAGAATTACAGACATGATCACGCAAGATAAATTTGCTAAATATTTTCTCAACATCTCCACACTACTTCTGTAGGAACTGAATAGGGGCAACAAATGAGAATTCAAATTTTGATCGTAGGGTTTAAAGGGGTTAAAGGTGAAAGTAGTGTCACTGACCAAATCATTTTATATCCCTGTTGTTACAGTAGATTTGTCAGTCTTACATTGATTTAGTTTTCCCAGACAACTAAATCAATATAACTGATTAACAACTAATTCAACTTCTCACAGACGATTCTGTTTGATTGCAGCAGAGACACGACATTCTCGGCGAGCCAAAGTTCCCAAACCTATCGTGTTTTCCAAACCCGATGGGACTGAGAGCCATCGTTTAAAGTCGGAAAATAGCCGAGGAATTGCCGAACAGGGTCGAGAGATGGATAGGAGGCCGCTAAAATTACTGGAGGAAATCAGCGACACAAGCAGCTTTTCTTCGCTTGTGGAACGTGAGTTTACTTACCTTACTATATACTTTGTTTTAGTTAGATCAAGTATATTTTTTCTACCAGACAGACCCGCGTCACCCGCCTCTAATGGAATCCTAAAATGGGTGGACCCGACTCCAGATACGTTTCTAAAAGCTGGTCAGCTATTTTAATAAGTTACACGTTTCTCTTATAATGCCGGCCCTATATGATCTCTTGACACTGCCAGCAGCAGTCGTGATGGTCACCGACTGAACTTTTTTTTAATTAGCCATATTGAAGTTGAGTGTTAGACTGGGTCGGTGATGTGTCAAATTGCACTTTGGACTGTTTAAGTGACGCTTTCACTTATTACATAGGCTACACGTGGGAAACTGAGTCAATATGGTGTTTAAGCAGCAAAGTTTTTGAGTGATACACGCCAACCGAAAGTGACCGTTTTTCTCTTGTAATAGGCAGTTTAAGCAACAACGCTTTTGAGCGACGCACGCCAACCGGAAGTGAACTTTTTCTTCCCTTTTAATTTACCTTGAGGCTACCAAATTTGTATTGCTAAGTGTCTTACTCTTAAAGAGACAATTTTCCCAAGAATTTGTTCAAAATCTCTGCCGACGAGTGCAAAAAGTCCAATTTCGGTTAACGTGCGTCGCTCAAAAACATCTTTGCTTAAGTTCCCTAATATATCTTGACGCTATCAAATTTGTTTTGCTAAGTGTCTTTACTCTTAAAGACACGTTTTGCCAGGAATTTGTTCAAAATCACGGGTGAAGAAAACGTGGTTGCCTAAAGTCCCTATATTTGCCCCGCAAAACAGTTGCATACTGCAATTCGACACAGCGATCCAATCTATAGCGTTCTCTCGCTGCAACTAATAACCCGTCCCGTGGAGTTCGTCTCTACCTACCATTCTTTAGTCCTCTTCGTCAGCTCCTCCTTGCCTATTCCAGTCGTTCAGGCCCCAGTTGTTCAAAAGTTGGATAGCGCTATCATCCGGATAAATCACTATCCAACGCAGGTTACGGATGAGTGCTGGGGAAACCAATTACTGGATAGTGATTTATCTGATGGATCGGGTTATCCACCTTTTTAGCAGCTGGGGCCAGAACATCTCCTTTCTCTGAACGCGTGGAACAGAACAGAACAGTTTATAGCTCTTCGTAAGTCTAGAAACTCTATTAAAAGCGCTTTGTTAAGCCTGTCTCAGAGGTGTTTGGCCAAGTTACTTTAAATTACCAACATACACTGACGACTGAACATCTCTCTTGTCTACCAGCATCAACTGAAGATCGTTCATCAACTCAAAGCTCCTTCAATAAAGGCACTCAGCTCGGAGGGCCCTCACGTAGCCGACCCCTCGCGAGTAGTGCTCGACCTACAGTGAAGCTTAGTGTACCTGAGGAGATGAGAGCCAGTGTGGCGTCATACAGAAACCGGTTTAACAAGTATTTGAGGGACACTGCTACTCATGAACAGGGCAAGTTTGACCCCTGCGGACTGGTGGATAGGTAAGTCACTTTACTTTAATAAAAGCTACGACACAGTTGAACCTCCATTAAGCGACCACGCGCGGGGAAGGAACAACTGGCCGTTTAATAAACAGTTACCGAAACAAAGTCAGATTAGCCTGAGTAGCAGGTGCCGAAAGGGTAGGGGATAGGGAGGAAGGGAAAAAGAGAAGGGGATTGGGGAGAGAGGGTCAATGTCATAGTGTAACTGCAAAGACGAAAATGTCATACCGGTAGTTGCAACTTACTCTCAAGCTTCGTTTGTTTTAACTGAGTACTAGAAAGAATATGAGCTGGTGACCCGTATGGGGTTTTATTTAATGGGTTTTAAAGAAGTGTTAATGTGACTCAATTTTCAAATACAGTCAAAACATGTAAGCTAGATTTTACTCTTTACGAGCGTTTTATGGGGATGTAAAACAATACAAAAGCTCTGGCACCTGTTTAGACTCCTATAAAACGAGCTGGTAAAAATAAGTAAGTAATTAATTAATACTGATAATCATAATAATAATACAGAGCTGTTGCCCGATCCAAAATTGTCTAGTGCTGTTTTGTACTCGAACACCTACCTTGTCCGCTCTCTAATCTCTTTGTGTTTTGGTGTATTTACTTTCTTTTGAAAATTATATTTTCAAACTTAAAATAGAGCACAAAATTATTGATATTAATTTTTAGAGGGACACCCCCTCTTAAAGCACCTGGTCTTATGTAAAATAGGGTGGTAACGGAACAGAAATAGGGCGCACTCCTCAAAGCCAATTACAAGTCTCTTGGAGAAACGTTTTTCCAACTGAACGAGAGAGGAAGCATGTGATTACAAGTGAATTTCGCTTTGTTTTAGGATCAGTGAGGATTTGTTAGAAGAAGCCCTACATGAAGTTGGTAATGAACTTGAACACGTGTGCGATGATTACGCAGAAGCTTTGTACAACGAAGAATTTGTTTCTGTCAGCACAGATACGTGATGTTCTTTCACATTCTTAAGCTTGTTGGGTAGTCTCTTTTTATGCGACACAAGTGCTACCAGTTTGTGTTTCACCTCATCACCTTGCGTATCATCGAAGCGGATGCAGCTATGAAAACAGTAACGATCACCTCGTCCTCAGTTACTATCACCAGGTTTCTGTCAAACGAAAAGAGTTGACAATTCCGGAAAACGGATGGGAAAGACTGTCCCCTGAGGAGGGGTGGTAGGGGAGGAGTAGTATTTTGACATGGATTTTTTGTTGTCGCGGCCAGGAATTTGACTACGGGTTAGGGTTATCCGTTTTCTACAATCCCCCTTATACCTCCCCCCACCCTAATCCTGATGTATATACTAGAAGAAATTTCAAGGTGGTTTCTAATCCTTAAAGTTACCTCGACTTTCTTTGGCTTTTACCCTTTGCTGATGTTTTGTGATTTTCTTAGTCAATCCTTCTTACATTCGTTACTAATTGCCATGTCTCCAAGGTCATATTGTCATTATTAAGTTTTAAAAATAATGTCTTTGTTAGAGTGTACAATAGTCAGTGCGCGTATATGTCGATAAGAGAAACCAAAATAGAAACAAGCTTTAAGTACACTGTAGTGAATTATTACCGTCACACGCTAAGACTATAGATCTGGGCCGAGTTGTTCAAAGCTGGTTCAAAATGACCCAGGGTTAGAGCGAAATTTGGATTCACAAATGAAACCTTAAAAAGCAAACTCAGTATAATTTATTTTGTCTACAATTTGATGATTGGGTGCTCTAAAACGGAAAGAGGAAATTATCTGAGAAAATGCTTTCGACCTAAAGAAAATGAATACTAGCTTAAAATTTAACCTCGGGTTAGCGCTACTCGGCCTTTAAACAACTAGGACTTGTAGATTTTTAGACTACTGTATTGATTCCTCTTCTATGATGAGATTCATTCAAGTTACCTACCCTTAAGAATTTAGTGATAATGGGCTGTCAATGGGGTTAATGGTTTGCCGCAAAAAACCAAACATTTCAGTTAGCAGTTGCAAAAATAAAAAAAATATAGGGAAATTAATCGTTATAATCTTTTCTTGTCACTATTTGTCATTTTGAAAAGAAATTAATCTTTAAATAGCCTTTAAAAAGACAAACAATGAGAGATCGGAACGGTGAATCCCATCACCCCATTGACATCTTAATATGGGGGATTCTAAATCATCAAGAAATCACCATTAAAAAATACAAGGAAGTATAACAGGTCCTACGGATTCATCAGAGCTTATTTATTTACCTTATTTGCTTGTTTTCTACGTGAGCGTGTGACGACACTGCGTAACGAACGGGTTCATAGGGAAAGCGAAACCTAACCTTAGGTTAATGTGGAGAAAAAATAAAGTGATTTTGTGCTACATTTGATGTTTGTTGTGTCGTTTTGAAGCGATGGCTTGTGTAATCCTGTCCTGACCTCCCTTTCAAGGTCTATAGGCCACACACCGACTTTGGGGGTCTCTCTAGGTAGGAATCTGAACTGCGGACTGGTCACGGTCTTACACATTCCCCAGTGGGCAGAAATAGGGAACTTAAGCAACGGCGTTTTTGAGCGACGCACGCCAACCGGAATTAAGGCTTTTTCTGTTTTAATTTGTCTCGAAGCTGCCAAGTTTGGATTGTTAAGTGTCTTTACTCTTAAGAGACGATTTGCCTGAACGTTTGGGCAAAACCACTGCTCAAGAATAAAAGAAGTCCTCTTCCGGTTGACTTGCGTCGCTCAAAAACCTCTTTATAATGTTAAATTGTAATCCCTTACTTAAACGTCTGTGACTTGCATAACAATTCCTTGCCTTAAACCTCGTATTTGGACTTATATTTTCAGTGCTTTATTTTTCTTTTTTTTTTTAATTTGTCTTTTTATCTTTGGAATGTAATCTGTCCGAGTAACGGTTTTTACAACGTCTTTATTTTAGTATGTTTTCCGATTATTTGATGCATGAATAATTTAAGTGGTGAAGTGTTATTTAAGGAGGCTCGAAAAAATAATTTTCTTCTGACGGTAGTCGCCGGCGTAAACCTTATAGCAGTAGACTATTCTACGGTAAGTTCAGCTGTATGACCAGTATTTTGCGAGTTATAGATGTAGATGGTAATGAAAGTCACTTTACAGAGTTTACTCATCAAGGTTTCATCCTGTGATAGGAATTTTAAAATGTTTCCTGGCAGAAGAATTGAATCTACCAAACCAAATAAAATGTGTTATTGCAGGAGGTGTGCGTGATATAGCCTAATTTTTCAGATGCTTACCGGAACAGCTTGGTAGTGCAGTGGCGTTGGAGACAGTTTCGCATATGAGAGGCCCGGGTTCAATTCTTGGCGATAAACTTTTTTTTTTGAGTCAATAATTTAAATAACAGCTAAAATTTATTTCTTTTCTTGTTGGTTGATAAATTTGACATTGAATGCTGAAATCAGGGTTGCTGATGGCCAGTCCGATTAGAGGATTTTGTTATTCTTTTTATGTGGGATGATTTGGTATGATTTGGCAATGATTCAGTAAAGTAATTTTGTATGTCCAGGCAATGATCAGGCATGCATGGAAATTGTTAGATTTGATCAGGTATCACGTATGATCGGGTAAGTAAAAGCGCTGTGCTTTTTTTATAAGTCATATATTAAAATTTTTCCGTTGCTTGACGTATCAACGTGGTAGTGCAGTAGAGAGTGGGATTGTAGTATGCACCCGCAACGGTGCGATTCGGGGTTGCTGTTGAAGACTCTTAATCTCGATTCTTTTTTTCTTTGTTGTTGTTTTTTAAAAATTATCGATGACAATGATGAGACAACATTTTAATATTTTTACGTCACTCTATCTTACACAAAAGCGTTTCCAGTAAGGGCAGATACATGTATTCAGGGTTTAAAAAAAGTTTTACTGGAAGGTTTTTAATAAAACAAGGTCAGCGCCATACCACTTTTTTAAACGCGGGTGCCCACTTTCACAACGGGGGATGGAAGACTTTGGGTAGGGTTCATGACAAATCAATAGCACCCCATGTTTCGTAAGTTTAAAAGAAAGCTGACCTTCCCTTTCGAAACATTTATCAACCTTATGAAAGTCAGGAACAAAGCAATATTGATGTGATCGTGAAGTCGAGCGTGCTTCTCAGTTATGAATTTTAGACCATGCTCACACGATAATGGTGATTTCGATCGGCGCGACTTCTGCAACGGAACGAAGCTGCGCCGCGCCGATCTTTAAAGTGGAGGGTAACATATCGGATAGGTTCTCGCAGTATATCGGATTATATTTCGTTTCGGCACGAAAAACTATCCAATATTGTGTGTACAAATATAGCCTTAAAGAGGTTGGGTCAGCAAGACTTTCTTACTTCTTGAATATGAGCCCGGCAGCAGTGTTTGTTGTAATTGAAAGCTTCCAAAAGTGGTCCTTAAAGTTCCACCACTGACTGGAAATAGCAAAACGAAGATTAAGTTTTCTTTTTTAAGCTAAATTTGAACAACAGTTCGAAACTGGTACGCTGTATAACGAGACGACACGAAATTACAATTGGGTAATCAAATTTTTCCTGTTTACTGTTGTGTCGCCTTGGTAGTGTAGAGGTGATGGGGAGGGTTAAGTTTTCAAGCCCGGGCTCGATTCTCGGTTGTAACTTTTTTGTTTGTTTGTTTGTTTTTTTTGTAAGGACAGACTTTATCAGAGTGTCTTTGAAATGGCATTGACCAATTATGAAAACAAAATTTTCATAGTGACAGCTACGAGTTCTTAACAGCATTTTCAGTTATAACTCGCTAGTCAGGGACATTGATTTCAAAAATGACAGTAGAAAAGACGCAGGTGGAGAGCCACCTAATATTCAAATACTGCATTGTTGATCCTAAAAAGGGAGGGGCACCAAGACTTGAACTCTTATTATCCAGTAACAGTGTTTGTATTAATTGAAAACCACCAAAAAGGAACTGGCCTTGCTAAACTTTACTCAAAACATGTAAAAGAGTGGCTTAGTTGACTTAAAGCCTGTTAACATGGAGATAGGGGACCCCAGTTAGGTGAGGTAACCCGCCAGTCCATATAATCTCTCATTTTAATTTGATCCTCCATGTAAACAGGTCATTAGGAAGGTGGAAAAAATGAAAAAGGCAGGGCCAATGTTTTCTAACCTTCAAGAAGGTAAAGCTTTTTTTTTACTCAATATGAATATGAACTAAGGCAAAGAGTTCTGAAAAACGCAAGTAACACTCTCTATTACAAAAAGATGCTAAATTGTATTTGTATAATTAAATTTCTTCCCGTGTCTGTTGTGTTGGCGTGATAGTGTAGTGGTAAGGGGACCAGTTAAGTACGTGAACCCGGGTTCGAGTTTTGTTTGCAGAATTTTTAATTTGTTTTTGGCAGGGAAAGGGTTTTTTTTCTCTTAAAAAAGGAATTTGAATGTCAAAATCTTAACGGAATTTTTCCGTTATAACCCGCTACTCATTTTAAGCGTGGCTCCAATGTTTACAGCGGAGAAATACTTTATAAGTTAAGGTTCACAAAATTGCACCCACGTTTTTACGAGTAAGTTTAAAAAACGCTGATCCTCCCTTATGAGACATTTATCATCCTTCGGATATAAACAAATTTAGTGGCCTGTTTACATGGAGGTAGTGGACCCCAGGTAGATGAGGTAACCCGCCTGTCTGTATTATAATCTCTCATTTTGATTTGATCACGTTTACATGATAGGTGGGTTGACCTGCCACAAGTTACCTCACCTACCTGGGGTCCCCCACCTCCAAGCAAACAGGCCCTTTGGAAGGCAGGGCCGAAAGAACTACCGAAAAGATTTCTCGAAAACTCGAAGAAAGCTGATTTCTGCTTCTTTCAAATAAGACGTTTGCGCCGTGCTTAAGATGCGCCTTTTATTTTTCTATAAGACAAAGAGTTCGGAAAATAGCCAGTACCTCTATTACAAAAAGATGCTAAATTGTATTTGTATAAGTAAATTTCTTCCAGTTTCTGTTGTGTTG